CACCCGCCCCCGGAAACAGGGAGATGGCAGGACAGGCAGAGGTGGCAGTGGCCACAGAACATTGCTGACCAACTCCTGTCACTCTGCCCCCCCCCCCCCCCATGCCCCAGAGGACAGTCAGTGGGACCTCCTTCCCTCTGGGCCTTAGCTTCCCTCCTCCCTAAGGTGGGGAGTTACATTGAACCAGCGCTTTCCAAACTGTGCTCCCAGAACCTCAGAGTCCAGCAGGGGGAGCTCAGGAGCCATGGGGGCCTGGGGAGAGAAGGACTAGGGGCTGACCCCAAGGCCATGTCCCTCTTCCAGAGCAGAGGAAGCCTTGCCTGTTCTATGTATGGGGTGCACTGACCCTTACTGCATGTGTGACCTTGGACAAACGGCTTAGCCACTCTACCCTCAGCGTCCTCGTCTGTAAAATGGGGGGCTTATAGCAGAACCCACATTAAAGGTGTGATGCACTATCCTGGCCTTCCATGTGGTTACTGCCCCTTCGATTTTAGTTGAAAGGGCGGAGGCAGGAGGGCCAGCATGCCCTGTGTGCCCTGGGGCTTTCGGTAGAATGGAAGTGCGAGGGGAGGAGCCCCACTGAGCGATCCTTCTTTCTCTTTCCTCCTGTAAAGATGAAGCGCGCAGGGACCACCGGCTCAGCGCGAGGCATGGCTCTTTACGAGGAGGAGGTGAGTGTGTGGTGCACGTGGGCCACCATCGAGGCCGCACCACCACCCGGCCGCTCTGACGTCTTCCTCTTCTACCCTCGCCCCAGCCTTCCTCGCCCCTCTTTCTGCTGCAACTCCCTGCCTGTGGGTGCGTGGTGACAGCTGCCTCCCCGAGAGGTTAGGACGGGAGGATGGGGGCCCAAGGCCATGGCAGCCCCTTCCTCTCACACTGGGATGCCCGGGAGTGCCTTGGCCTGGTTGACAGAGGCTCTGGTGACGATGTCACCGGCTGGGGCAATGGCACGTGCCCTCTGGGGACAGAAGGAGGCACTTAGAGCTGTCTCTGGCAGACCTTGAACCAATCCCCACCCCGCATCCTCTGCTCTCCTCTTGGGACCCCAGACGCTGCACTCGTGAGAAGACCCATTAGGTCCGGGGAGTCTGAGATGGGAGTCTGGAATCTGCCAGGGCAGGGTCGAGGCTCAGTCCTGAGTGAGCGAGCCAGTGACTTGTGCTCTAAATCAGGGCTTGGACCCTCCCCACAGACAAACGCCTAGGGCCATCTCCTCAGCTCCATTCCTCCTGGCAGTAGTGCCGCCCGCTGTCCGTGGTGCTGCCTGGGAGCCTCCTGCGGGGCAGGCTCCTCTGTCCAGCTCTGGATCTGGCTGCCCGCCCTCCCTCCTGGGCCCGGCTCACACCGCCTTCTCCCTATCACAGCAGGTGGAGCGAATCGGCGACATCGAAGAGCGCGGCAAGATCCTGGTGTCACTCATGTACAGCACGCAGCAGGGAGGCCTCATCGTGGGCATCATCCGCTGCGTGCACCTGGCCGCCATGGATGCCAACGGCTACTCCGACCCGTTCGTCAAGCTGTGAGTCCAGACCATAGGCTCAGGAAGGGGCCCCGGGGAGATCACGGATCCTTGGAAAGGGAGACTCAGAGAGCTTCCTCCAGATCACTGTACGCTGAGACCCAGAGAGGGAAAGATGCCCGGGGTCACACAGTGACGCAGATACTCGGAACTGTCCTGAGCAGGAGGCCGCTGTTCTGGGTCTGGTGCATAGACAGTGCTCAGTAAATACCTGCCCTTAAGGTTCTGAAACATGACCCCACTGTTCTCACTCAGGGCAAAGAGCATTATGAGTGTCCTTTCCAGGTGGGAAACCCACACCTTCCCACCTGCACTACCTCTGATACCAGAAAGCAATGCTCCCCCTCAGTGCATGGCTAAAGAACAGTCTGTCTTTCAAGTTTTCTTTAAATGAGGATTTAGGGGCCAGCAGGTGGCATGTGGTTGGAGAGCTGGACTTCCACATGGCAGACTTCAGTTCAAGTCCCAGGCTTGGCAGCTTGCTTTCTCTCTCTCATCAAATTAAAAAATAATTATAATAATAAGTGTAAAAGTTAAATAAAATAATTCTTTTTAAAAAAGAGAAATAAAAAGAGAAATATACATATATACATATATATATATATATATATATATATAAAGGATGAATCTGATTTCTATGAGTATTGAGGTTTCCTTCCTCCTGAGGCCTAAGAGAAAGTTCATTCATGGGGTGCTGTCCTGAGACCATGCAGTAAGTCCATATGCCACAAGTTGAGTTTCTCAAACAATTCTCCCACCAGTCCTTCCAGACGCAAGTTGCTGTGGTCACCAGTAGAATAGCTTCTCTGGGAGCCATCGTGCCAAGGGGAACGGGAGACCAGAACGCGTTTTCTGTCCAAAATTTTTTTAAAGCCAGAATCCTCTCTTACTTGAGCTCAGCATTTGGTAACTTTCCATTCCTCCTTGGAGTTTCTTCTTTCCAAGTATGCTCAACAGCAGTTCTGTGCAAGGGAGAGGTGTTAGCCCTCTTTCCAGGGGGACTGAGATGCGGTGGGTTATGCTCGCGTGCATGGTTGTCCAGCTGTGTCAGCCTGACTCGGCGTCCACACGGCCCCCACGCCTTAGTTGTTGTTAGCTCGTTGTGTTTACTCACCCAGAAAACTGAGAACTTACCCTGTGCCAGGCACTGAGCCTGCCCTGGGGAGGAAAGAGAATGTGGGAAAGAGAGGGGTGAAGAGCATGGCACAACTTAGGACAGAGCAGGGCCCCAAACACACAAGTACTTTAAAAAAATTATTTATTTAATTTTATTTATTATTATTCAGTTTGACCAGAGAAAGGGAGAGGGAGAGTGAGAAAGCAAACCACCAGGTCCAGGACTCACATAGCAGTTGACCATGTGGGTGGGAGTCCAGCACCGTAGCCACCACGCCACCTGCTGGCCCCCACACAAGGTCTCAAGGGCACATTGAGGATTTCGAACACTACGCCATGGTCCTGGGGAAGTCAGTGAACAGTCCCAGGCAGTGGAGGGACAATAGTTGGATTTGCAATTTTTCCCTATGTCCTCATGCCCTGAATCTTCCCAGCGCTGGGGACAGCCTTAGGGGGACAGATAGTAAGATGCCAGAAGTCACCAACCATGGCCCTCAATTGGATCCATCGGGAGAACATGCTGGCTAGGCCTCCGGGTCTCAGAGCTGGCTTCCGTTTCCAGCTGTGTGACTGGGACACGTGTCTCAACCCCTCCAGCCCCTCAGTTTTCATGTAAGCGAAATGGGCGGCCCTTGTTCTGCTGCCTGGGTTTGTGCTGGGATTAAACACGCCGGAGATTAGCACGTGCCGGGCACCAGATGGATGCCCTAATGGCTGGTGGTCGCTATCAATGTTGATTCATTTCCCAGATGTGTTCATCGGTTGTTAGCCTGATTCTGGGACAATCCTTTAGGGCCATCGAGGCGTCATTCTTAGTCATGAACTTCATCCTTAACAACCTCTTATGTCTTTCCCAGGTGGCTAAAACCGGACATGGGGAAGAAGGCCAAGCACAAGACTCAGATTAAAAAGAAAACCTTGAACCCTGAGTTTAATGAGGTAAGGCTGCCACATTCTTTCTCACACTCTGGGGTATTTCCTGTGTGAGAGAGAAGAACAAGCTCACTATATCGTGCTGCAAAACTGTCTTCCATCAGCCTAAATTATCGAAGGGAGAGGGAACGCAGTCCTTGGTGTGTACGGAAATCAAGCCTAAGGCAACAGCCCTCAGATTAGGATGTCCTGGAGAGGAAGTGGAGTTTGGAGAGAGATGGTCTTACACCATCTCATGTCTCCGCCAGTTCAGAATGTCTGTAATTCAGAAATGTGAGGCTCAAGATAGGGGCGGGGATGGCGTTTACCCCCGACCACCCCCAGTGGGTGTGCCCTTTCCCACTGCCCTCGTCCTTCCAGTGCATCGAGTCTGCTGAAGCCACTGTCTAAGCACTTACTGGAGGAGCTCCTCCCTCTGTATTCTCACTGCCACCACCTTGGCTCAGACTCAGCATTTCATGCCTGGACTGTTGCAGTAGACTCCTGATTCACTTCTCTGTGCTCCACGCAAGTGTGAGCTTGCTGCACCCAGACCTGAATTTGCCATTCCTTTGCATAAGTAACTCAGTGATAGCTCTAATTTCTCGATGTGTCAGCCAGGCCCTTTCAACCTCACCTCTAGGCAGCCCCTTTGCACCTGCTGCTCCCTCTTCCTGGACTACCCTCTCCCTCTGTTCCTCTGTGGCAAACTCCTGCTCATCCCTCAAGACCCGACGCATGTGTTACCTCCTGCGAAAGTTCTTCTTTTGTGTTTCCAGACTTTGTGCCTCCCTCTGTCTCAGGCCAGCCTGTGGATTTCAGACACAAAGGGTCCTGAAATACCAGTTGAATAAATGAAGGCTTGAGTGGAGGAAAGTGTCTGGCTAGATAAGTTCCCGTTGAACCCACATGTAAACCCAAGAGGAAGAAGAAATGCACAACCGGGAGCCATGGGACTCCTAGCTCTGAGCCCAGGCCTGGCTCAGACATCCCACCCCCGGGACAGCCATTAGCCTGGGTTCTCATCTCTGTGCCTGCCTCATGGCAGCCCGGGTTGCTGTTCCACCCCCTGGACTCTCCCCTCTTGGTCCCTCCTCCAAGGTCTGATGCTGGGCCAGAGGTGGCCATACTGGTTCTTACTATATGGGAAGCAGTCGTACACTAGGTTCCGTATTTTTTTTAAGTCCATCATAGGCACATCCATGGGGATTGTATGGGGGGAACAGCCCGGTCAGTCCAGTCCTTCCTCCCAGGACCTGGGTTTCCTAACTTGGATATGTGAATTTCAAGTGAAGAATTCTTTCCCCTCTCCTGGAATCCTCAGAAGCCACAAGCTAGGACATCCAAGTGGCCAGTGAGCACATGAGCAATAATAAAAACAAGAACCGAGACCAGATGCTGTATCTCAAACTGGCATGAACAACATTTTGAAATGTTGCTACTCAGGATCCGGGAGCATGGGGGGAGCAGTGCCCGGCCTCTGAAGGGCGGTTTGTCAAAGCACTTCAAAACCGAAAAGTTTTCCAAATTTAAGTTCCACTTACGTGGGGAATATGTACTATAATCACATGTTTCAAAATACAAAAAAATACAAAAAGGTATCCAAAATCCCCTCCCCTACCTTTTAGTGCCTAGTCCTTTTCTTCCAAAGCAACATATTACCCTTTCCTGAAGACCACATACATTCCTAGTCAAACACTTTGTCACAGTTTGTTGAGAAGGGATCAGAGTCTGGGACGGAGGCTCCGAGCGATGACCTCTCTGGCACCAGAATGCCCAGCTCAAGGACCTCCCGTTGGCCCATGTCTCCTTGTAGCCCCTCACGCATGTCTCTCTCTGTTGCACTCAGGAGTTTTTCTATGACATCAAGCACAGTGATCTGGCGAAGAAGTCACTAGACATCTCGGTGTGGGACTACGACATTGGCAAATCCAACGATTACATTGGTGAGCACCCCCTAACTCCAGAGAAAACGCGCCCCCTGCCTTCCCCAGGGCTGCAGAGGGGGGTGGTCACTCCTTTTCTTTTGTCCAAATGCCAAGGCAGGTCCTAGCTTTGATCCAAGTTGGGGATGCGTGTGTATGAAAGGGCTCACAAAGCTTGGTTATGTGTTGAGTAAATCTGCAACAGGATAATTCCATCAGAGGAGATGGGGTGTGAGGCCTCGGCAGAAGACAGGATGCAAAGGAGTCCTCTGTCATCGGTCCTAACTCCAGGATGAAGGTTTCCGTTTTCCCAGCCTCCTTCCAAATGCTGAGAAAGAAATTTAAAGATGGAGCAGGGAGGGTGGGTGCTCCAGGCCAGAGACAGAGCCTGAGCAGAGACGTAAAGACAGGATCGAGCGGGATGGTAGAACTGACTCTGGAAATAGACACGTACCCAGGAGGAGTGGGAGTGAACGGTCTGCAGAAAATCAGTAAAAGTAGACAAAGAAGTTACGACTCGGTGCGGTACTAGGGAGCCATAGCAGGTTCAGAAGGCAGAGAAGGCCCGTGTTAATAGCTATCATGGCAACAGCGTCGTCACACCCCCCTCCAGAGCCTGGATCCCAGGTTGCCGAGGGAAGGGCCAGCACTGGGCGGCAGCTGTTCCCCCACCTACAAATGCACGTCTCCACAAGAGTCTGAGCTGCCTCTCCTGGTCACTGACCCTGCCTTCCCGTCCCCCCTCCAGGAGGCTGCCAGCTGGGTATCTCCGCCAAGGGGGAGCGCTTGAAACACTGGTACGAGTGCCTGAAAAACAAGGACAAGAAGATCGAGCGCTGGCACCAGCTGCAGAACGAGAACCACGTGGCCAGCGATTAGGCCAGTGCCCATGTCCCGGACTCCGCGTCCCGCCGTGCCCAGGTCACCCCTTAGCCTGCCCTAGGCCCCCCGCACTCTGGTCTCTCTTCTCCAAGCCTACCTCTGCCCACCCCGCCGCCCTCCCCGGGCCTGCCTTGGAGGTTTCCCCTCACATCGGGCACTGCTGCCAAAGACCGCCTCCTCCCTCCCCGATGCTGGGCTGTGGGCTGTGAGTGCAGCTGTCTCTGGTCCCCAGGGTAGAGCAGTCAGGAGGAGCCCGGGGGATGTTTACAAAGAGGTTGTTCACTTCCTAGCCCTCGGTCCGGGTAAGCTACCAGGGTCTCTTCGCCGTTTTCAGACCCTCCTGGCCTTGAACACGCACCCCTCCATTCCCCAGGTCGTGTCTACGTGTACTCTCGGTTGTAAACAGACCCAGGCAATGCTGTGAGGATAAACATGGGGGGCAGAAATAGCAAACCCAGGCTCCCCACCTTCCAAATCCACCCCGGTCACCAGGCAGACAGACCGCTGTGTTCAGGAACCCACCCTCCCTGCTCGAGGGCATCAAGAAATGGACACACAGAATCCAGAGAGGGGCTGAGGGACCCTCTTCGGGGTGTCACCTCTTTGCTTCCAAGCAAAAGTAAGAGTCATGACAGTCACAGCCTTTATCACGTCCTCCGTCACGTTGCCGGCTCCCTTTCTCAGCCCCTCACCTCTCCTCTCCACTCCCTGCCTCTCCCCTCTCGGAGGGGGTGCAACTACAAACATAAAACGTGTGTCTTACGAGAGCCTCCCTGCTCTCACCCCTGGCCCTGCTTCGTAAACGGCTCCCCTCTGCTGTCATGCAGCCGGGTACCCTCGGGCTCTGGGCCAGCTGGCACTGCCCCGGTGCACGGCGGCTTCCCTCAAGCTGTGTAGACGCCTCCCTGCCCCCAGCCTCCCCAGGTGGGCACAGGGCACGTTTGGAAGATCAGTGCTATGCATCCCAGGGGCTTCCGCCCATGCCCAGGCCTTTCTTCTCCCTCTACTCCGAGCTCATTGAACAAACTACCTTCCCCTGACACTCTCTGACCGTTTCAATGACCCTCTCGAGTCCCGTCTCTGTCACTCTTTACCAAGTTTCCTGGGAGAACCAAATGCCGTCGCGGGTGGAAAACTTTAGACAGCAGCCGCCTCTGATGAGGCCAAATGCTTTGGGTAATCACACATCATTTAGTCTTTCTTCCGAAATCAAATAAACCAGGAGGAAACTGTAACATGGACGAACATTGGGGTGGTGAGAGAGGCCTGATTTTCCTCATTCTGATAAGTTTTCGCCCTTGAAAGTCACCCCAAGCCCCACCCAAGATCTCTATAGACGTCCTCAGGCAGACACTCAAACTCGAACTTACCCACACCGCCACCGTTGGCCTCCCTTCCACGCCCGCCCCCAGCTCCCTGTGCAAGCCATTGGAGGACTTTCTTGCCTTCCATAACCATTTTCTAGACATCAAGCTCATCACCTTCCCCATGGTGGCCACCAGCCTCCTGGCCACCATCTTTCCTCTTGGCCCTGTCTTTCTCCCCTTGTCCCCGGTGGTACCCACCCTCAGCCCACCTTCTCCCCACGGTTCGCCCTTAGGAGAAAGCATGCTGGCTGTTGGCACTGGAATCAGCATGCGGCAAGCTCTCCCCAACAATGTAACCGCCTCCCCTCCTAGAGTTCCCCCCACCCCGTGCATGCACAACTGCCAACCTCCTCTCTTTGTGATGATGTAGCCAAAAATAAAATAGGCGTATTCAGGAACACTGGTGGTCTGCATTCTTCCTTTCTGGTTTCTAGACGGTCTTCCTTCCCAGCCGGATACTTACTAATCGATAATATTTGCTGAGCACCTCCAATGTTCCAGACGCAGGAGATGCAGCCAGGGAGCAAGACAGGTGAGATCTTTGCCGATGCGGAGTCTGACTTCTGGTGGATTTCATCTTGGGAAGGTGGGCTCAAGGTAATTTGGTAGGTCCAACACCCTCTGAGGAGAATATGTTCTGTTGGTGCCCACCTAACAAGAAGACAGCATCTTCATCCTCTCCTCCTACTCCAAACCCTGGAAAAAGCTCCAAGTACTTGTGGAATCGGATATTGCTGAGGCTGGAAGAGACCACAGATTGGCTGAAGGTTGACCAACCTACTTATCAGACAGATGAGGAAACCGAGGCTCAGAGAAGGGAAAGACATACCGAACGTTTCAGAGACAAGGCCAGGAAAGGAGCTTAGGCATCCCAGTCCGGGGCGCTTAACATACCAATCAGTGACAACACAGAGCAAACGCCTCCCTTGCATTCTGGCACCTTCCAACCTGCAGTGAGTCCACAGCCTGCCTTGGAAATTTTCAACAGTCCTAAAAATGAGCCGAGCGGGACTGGCAGGTGGCATGGTGGCTGAAGCACTGGACTCTCGCATGGTCAACCACAGTTCAAGTCCTGGACCCAGTGACCTCAAAATCACAACAAATAAATAGATAAATAAATGAAACAAACAAACAAAAAACTTTCACTTCCAGGTCAACTTTGAGACAATTTCCTTCTTTTTATGCCCAAAGATTGGTTCTCAATGTCAGGACAGAACTAGGTACATTAAAATCACTTAGGCGATGTCTTTGCAACTATCCATGCTCTTCCTACATCCCACAAAGTCTGATAAACCCTGAGGGCAAGGTGTGTATTTGAAAATATTTTCCAGCTGATGCCTTGAGATTCTCATGCCCATCATCACTCCAGGTGAGTTATCCCTGCAATGCAGCTAGCTGCCACCAGGTGGCGAAAGAAGCCAATTAGGACCACACAGGCCTCTGAAGACCGTGAGGGGACTCTGGCTGCTCTGTTTCGGCCCAAGGCACTAACAGCACCTTTCCCATCAAGCCTACAAATGGCCACTGAACCCAGCCACGACTAGTTATGGGTGGCAGTTGAAAAAAATTTCCAACCCTCCTTCTAGCATGGGGACATGCTGAACAGACCGACATGAATACACGTGAGAAAGTTTCCAGAAAAACACCTGACCTGGGCCAGCCAGTGGCACAGATCCCACTTAGCCACCTTCGTGGTGTGAGTGCCAGATGGCAAGACTTGAGGAAGAAGCATTCAAATCCTGGCTGTCACTCTCTCGCTGTGGAGCCTCAGCCAGGTCATTTAGGCTCTCTGCGTCTCGGTTTTCTCATCTGGAAAATGGGAACGATGGTGAGTGCTTCCAACTTGCTGAGAGATTTCAATGAGATCATCGGTGGATAGTCCTTGACACTAGAAGGGGCTTCAATAAATGCCACCTTGACCTGCCAGCTCCACGCCTGGGCTCCCTCACGCAGCTCTGTTGTATCAGGGAAATGGGCTTGGGGCTGAGAGTGGGGGAGGCTTGGACGGGCAGAAGCAGATCTCTAGGGTCTCCACACAGATGGGAGAGTTTCAGCTGGTGCCGCTGGGCATTCCAGCAGCTGGAGCTGTGTGTTCTGAGCTGGCGCTGGACGTAGACCTAGTTGCTGAGGTCTGGGCTCTCACCAGGGCTGTCAGAGGCGAGGCCAGGAGACGGGGTAGGTCACGGGTTGGTGGCTGTGAAAACACATGGGCCCAACCATGGCTGTGCCCAGAGTGTTGACCCGACTAGGCTGAGTGACACACTAGAGCACCAGGAAAACACATGTGTGCATGTAAGAGGCATGTTCTCTCCGTTCCCATGCAAGCTTGCTGTGGGACCCAGAGCACGTCACTTCCCCCCGTTTGGCTCTTCACCTACATACGCAGGACATCAGGGTGGCAAGAGTCTCTAATTATTATCAGAGCCCACAAATGCACCATTTCTCAATTGTTCAATGAAGGCCAAGATCTGTTTGCTGAGAGTGAGTCCCCGACTGGAGTCCTGCATTACTGTTCTCACGTAACCCAGAAATGAGTGGCCTGGTGGCAGCACGGTAACCCAGCGCTGTGATGCCACGGTCACACAGGAAGGCCGTGGGTTCTCCACCTCTCTGTGCACGTTGGGTGAATGTATACCAGTGACCCAGGCTGGCTGAGGCTGGGGACAGATCACAGCACGAAGACCCTGCTGGGAGTCCCCTACCACTGCCACTGTCGTGGAAGAAATAAATAACTTAAAAAAAAAAATGAGTCATCTCTATGTTCCTGTGTCTGTTTCTTTAAAGAAAAAAATAGCATGAAGCCTCCTGCAAAAGCATCAGGGGTTAGTCCCAGGCACAGATGAATTTTTTCAATTATTTCCTCAATACCTTGAAGTTGTCTTACTCTTAACTAATTCTATGCACGATTACGAAACTTGCCTTTGTTACATCTTTCCAAGGAGGTTAATGTTGGACCAGTCTGTGGTCTGGTGGTTACATGAGCTGGGTCCCACGTGGCCAATCACGTGGTTTGAGTCTGGACCACACAGCTTGAAAATGCGGGGCATGTGTGCTTGTGTGCCCAAAACCCAGACTGGAAGAAAAGATGGAGGGAAAGAGATTGCGACCCGACCGCGACTCATGGCAGGTTCTTTCTCACTTTCCCTTTCTCTCTCTCTCCAGGGAGCGCATGTGCCCTTTGGAAATTTTTTTAAAAACAAAGAATTTAATGTTGGTTTTCTTTTTTTTTTTTTCTAGAGAAAGATATTTTTGCTATAGGATGTGTGTACTTGTCAGAGAAATAGAGAGAGACGGAGAGACAGAAAGTGAAAAATCACCCCCAGAAGGGATGACCACGCCGCAATCCCTTCTACTCCATTCTCCTCTCAGGATCTTGGGAATACACGTACATGTGCCTGGCGTGAGTTTTAAGCCTCTGTGTCTGAGACCCAAACCACAGTCAATTCCATGGGAGTCCAGCGACCTAACCATTATGCCATCTGCTGGTCCCAATGTTGGTTTTCAAAAGACAACTCTCTTTTTTACTTATATTGGATCTGTTTATGTAGATTTACTGAAAAGGATGCCATTCGCCTGGAAAGGACATGGAATCAACCCAAAGGTCCAAGAAGAGATGAGTGGATGGAACAGATGTGGCGTATGTATTCTATGGGCTATTACTCAGCCACAAAAAACAGTGAGACCCTGACATTTGATACAAAGTGAAAGAATACAGAAGACTTAATGCCGAATGAAGTAAGCCAGACTTTGTATGAGCCCACTCACTATATACTGGTTGCACTCAATAGCAGAAACCGAAAGTTTGGAAGGTATAGTAGCTGGGAAGACTGTATCTACAGATACTAGACATGGTAAGGATGGGGTTAATACAGGGGTGGGTAATAGAAGGAGGGAGGGAGGGGAACAGAGCTAGAAAAAAATACATATAACTGGCCAAAAAATTGAAAAGCTTTTTCGATGATAATATATATAGTAATGTCTTTGTATTGACTGATATGCATGGTATTTATGCTAGAAGAAGAAATGTTGTACACTGTACAGAGACATGTGATTAAATGTACATTAAAATTTTAAAAACATATCAGGACTGGAGAGAGCTGCAGTGATAGCCTACTGCTCAGTGAGGCTGACCCACTTGCCAAGGTTCTGGGTTCACATCTGGAGACCTCCCTGAATGCTGATTTACATATAGATACACATGTAATTTTTAAAATATTTTATGTTTGTAATATAGTGCATCATTTTTACTATCACTAGAATAATAGCAATTTTGAACTACCTTTACATTATATAAGGAGCAAATATATTTTAAGAGTTGTGAATTTGATCAATTTCTTATTCATTTAAATGAATCGTCACTATATTTTCTATCTTCTAGGTAAATAATTGGAATATCCATAATGTTAAAAAAAAATTCCCATCTCATACATTTTCATCCTTTTCTGAGCCATCTACTGTGGGTGTGACAAATTCCAGGTAAAACGCGGGCTCCATTTTGAGGACTGAGAAATGGAGTCAGGGACCCTGGAATCCCGTGGGCACCCTCAGCTGTCAAGGTCCTTCTGGTTCCTGATGCTCCTGTCACAGGTCACAGGTCACACAGCCCCTTCATTGGGTGAGGGACGATCAGAGACACGTCTGCCCAGGTGCACACACAGGTGCTGACTCAGTCCCCACGTCAGCAGCGTCCAGCCCCAGGCTGCTCCATACGCAGCCAGCAGCCCAGAGCAGCGGGTCCTGGTGCCTGGTCTGGGTCTCTTTCCTGTAGGGAGTGGCCAGGTCCGAACCAGGCACTAGCAACCTTTAAAGTAGATACGGTCTCTGCGCTGATGCTCCAGGGCAAGGGAAAGCTGCAGCACAGACATGACCTATCGTTGCACTGCGGGGCAGCGTCAGTTAAAGGAAGCTGCGTGTCAGCCAGAGAAGGCCAGGGGAGACTTGCTTAGAAACACGAGACACAAGAACCACGGGACGCAAGATGCTCTACAGCCACGACATAGAGAATACCAGGCTTTCCCTTCAGCTTCTCCCTCTCCGCTGTCAGTGCGCCCATTGGTCCTTTCTCAGTCTACCGCCCACTTCCACTCGGGGTTCCATGTCCCTTCGCCTCACAGGTGGAGACACTTCCTGCACCCAGCTCTCTGCCCCAAGCTCACCTTCGTCACCAGAACAGACACCCGTTTCTGGACCCCAGGCCCAGCTTCCGTCCCTCCCTCCCTTAGACACAGGTCGCCGGGAATCCCAACAGGGTCACCAGGGCTAGTGTGGCATTGCTGCCTCTCTGTCCAGACTCTGACGCTTTACTGAGATTCCCACCTCCTCCTTCACTAGAGCAGACTTTAACCGGAGGCCTTGAGGAAACCTATCAGCCCATCCTCACTGCCATGCGGGTTTGGAACCAGGAGCTAAAACTATGTATTCATTCACTGTTCGCTTCTTTAACTTTCCTTGCACTGCTTTGCAGTGTGCAGGGAACAAGCCTCATCTTCGCATGATTTAAAGTTCATTTATTTATTCATTGTCAAAACCCCCAATGCAGCCCACGCCTCAGCCCGGCCCTAATCTCTTCACAAGTAGAATCTTTCCCTGTACTGCACGAGTTGCCACAGTCCTGATGTGTCACAGGAAGCCCACTCCGATGACCTGTTCCAGAAAAATAGAGAGCTTTGGAACCAATGAAATGCATAATTAAATTTACTTTCAGGGCCAACCGGTGAAGTGGAGGTTAAGGTGCTGGATTCCACATGGTCGACTTCATGGTTCAAGTTCTGGAGTCAGCAGCTTAAAAATCACGCTGGGCACATACACATGTGTGCCCCAAATCCCAAGAGGATGAAGCAGAAGAGACTGCAGAGTACCCATCCCTCCTGGGAGATGATTTCTCACTTTCCCTCTCACTCTCTCTCTAACAAATGCATGTATCTTATAGCAAAATAAAATAAATAAATAAATAAATAAAAATTCACTTTCAGGGGATATGCTATTTACTCAAGAATATTATAATTCTGTAAAGAACCATCACCCTCTGGCTCCCCTTTTTCTGTCTCCTTCACCTTTACACGTCTCCCTTCTGTGTCTCCCTTCAGCTCTCCTTTGCCCTCACTAGCCCTGATCACATCTCCTTAAAGGCCCTGTCTTTCACTCAGTGAACACCCTATTCTCCATCTCTAATTCTCACCTCACTTCTGTCCCCTTAGCCTTCATTCTCACCCTCCACCTAGGCCAGCACTGACCGCTGGAGGGCCCAGGTCTCAGACATTGGCTTCAGAAGAAAGGTTTAAAGGTCTCCAAGCCCAGGAGATGGCTCTGATATCATGCCCCACCCGGCTGAGGCTGATCATTAACCTAGCCCTTATATTACAGGGGAGCCATGCCCAGGATGGGGAGCGTACCATCCGCAGCCATGGCCAGCTCAGTAAGCCCCAGCACCATCGCTGGGACCCCAGAGCCACCTACGATGTCAAAGAGCATCCAAAACCCTGCTGACATATCTGTCATTGTCATCTATTTTATATTGGTGATGGCTGTCGGTGTGTGGGTATGTGGGAGCCCAGTGGGCTTTCAGGGTGGGCATAAGGGTTGGGCGGGGGGAGCGTCTAAGAGAGGGAGAGCTGTGGGATGACAGAGCTCAGACAACATGAAGAGCTTTCACAAACATCACTGTCTTTTTCTCAGAAACATTCTCTTGTGTGGGACATAAATAATGCTTGTACTTAGTTCACTTGTTCTCCTAACAATCCCATTGTGTGACCAGAATCAACACAGGGCCCTTCTGCACCTGATGTAATGAACAAAGATGTTATTGTCATTTCATTTCTGTTACTCTCCTTCATCATGGACTGGCTTTCTAACTTAGTGAGTTGGACATTGAATTCCTTCGTGTTCATTCTTTTTCATGATGAGCTCGAGACTGCACATTTTCTTCCAAGCACCGATGAGAGATACCTCACGTTTTTATAAATGAAAATGAACTGTCGAGTCAGAAGTTATGCAGTATCATTCCTTACATCCTACCAGGTCTGCTTTTATAATACACATGATTTCTAAGTTCTTAAAAATGGATGCTGGGCCAGCTGGTGTTTAAGGCACCTGGATCCCACATGGCCAACTGCATGGCTCATATTCTGGACCCAGTGGCTTGAAAAACACACTGGGCATGTGTGCACATATGCCCAAAGTCCTGAGAGGAGAATGGAGGAGAAGGGATTGTGGCATGGCCATATCCCCAGGGAAGTATTTTTCACTTTCTCTCTCTCTCTCTCTGTTTGGTGAGTACGCATCCCCGACAGCAATTTCTTTCTCATGGATGCTATATCGTAGTTCCTGGGAAGACGTTTCTCTCTACGGGAGTGCTGGAAAAGTCAGTGTGATCATACCCTGGCCGGAGCATCAGCATCACAGGGGATGCTCATGTGCTGTTGTTTGATTCTCATGTGTTTTTCATTCTGTTCAGTCGATGCTAAGGACCAACAGGGGCACTGTCGGAGGCTTCTTCCTGGCTGGTCGAGATGTGTCCTGGTGGGCGGTAAGTGGGCCAGAGTTTCCTGGAGAAAAATTCCTTGCATGTGTGTTTAAGAGTGGATAAAGAACACATTGGGATGTCCATCGTTTCTGAGGGACATCGCCTATTTGCTCGTGTTTCTTTTCCTAAATGCTTGATCCCATGGCTCTGCCCTGGAATTCCAGTGAATTTTAATGTGCCACCAGATAGGAAAGTTGACATTTAAGATGTTCTTCCCTATCCTCATCAAGAATCTCCTTGACTTCTTACTAACTCTAGCACATTCCTTCTTTGTTCCAATCCTGAACTAATTCTGCCTTCCTCATTTATTTTAGCCTCCCCTTCTCACCGCTCTCCTTCGATACTCACCTCAACCCTTGTGTACATCTAAGAAGTCCCCAGCTCGTTTCAGCCCTGCTCTCAATGTCTAGTTCTCATATTCTATGCAGTTATTGCAAGTGGGTTATGTTCCCTATGATGGTGTTAATGATGATGGCTCTTTTTTTTTCCCTGTGGGTCTTGATGTATGGGCCCCTTATCCAGAGCCCCATTGCAACAGCAGCTTCGTCTTCCTCTCTAAACCTGTAGAATGTCAGCACTGGGTTGGGTATACAGTGGGTTCTCAGTAAATGCTTCCTTCAGAGATCTTCTGACTCATTGTCTAAATAGTATGAAAAGAAATTAAGCCTGGGAAATAATCTCATTTCATACCGTTTAGGCTCATTGTATGAGAGCATGAACTCAACAGTATGAACTAACCCATTGCCACAGTAATGGCATTACTCCATTTATGTGGGAGGAGTCTTCATGACCTAATCACCTCTTAGCAATCCCACTTTCAAAACTGTTGCATTGGAGATTAAATTTCCGACACACGAACTTTGGGAGACACATTCAAACCGTGGCATTTATATGCAGGGAAATGGAGACTGGCTGGGGTGATTGAAGCAGACCAACTGCAAGCTCTGATTGGGATACCCAGTCAGATATTGTCTTCTTAGGCCTGTTTTGTAAAACATTCAAGGCACAACCATTTCCAAAGCCACAAACCAGTTCCATCCCTGAATAAAAAAAAATTTTTTTTAAAGTGTGATTTTTATAGAAGGGTGAAAAGATGGGAATAGAAGTACTTCAGGAGCTCCAGAGTCCAATTGTCTTCTTTCAGAATACATGTTTGTCAAGAGATCTCTCTTGATGTTTGAGGCTTAATGCCAGCAGACAACATGATGGAAAGGGATATAGACGAGAAAATTGTTCTACAGTTGGAAGAACGGAGAGCATTTTCCTTCTACCAAACTTTGAGGTCCTGAAGTCAATTAAAGCAAGAGCTTATGGGAGGTATAGAAGTTTTGGCCAAGGACAGGCTCAGGCAGCATGTAGGTCACTAGACCAATTCTCCAAGGCATGGGTCAACAAGTTTTTCTTAAAAGGTCAGATTATAAGTATTTTAAGGTTCACAGGCCATAGTCTATTGGAACCGTAAAACCCTGATGTTGAACTAGAAAAGTAGCCATAGTCAATATGTAAAAGTAGTAAGCACGGCTGTGTTCCAATAAAACTATTAATGGACACCAAAATTTGAATTTTAGAAAATTCCCATTTTTTAATATTTTTTTACATTTCAAAAAATATTCTTCTTTATATGTTTTAAACACTTTTTAAACAATTCACACATTCAGAACATTCTTGGCTTATGATCTATACAAAAACTGGTGATGGGCTGGATTTGGTATATGGGTCATAGTCTGCTGATGTCTGCTCTATGGAGTAGTTATCAAAATCCATCAACATCCATCTGTTTTCAGAGTCTGATTTGAATATTTTAACTCTAATCCTAGCCTGTTCTCTTGCATTCCAGATGGGATCCTCTCTCTTTGCCAGTAACATCGGCAGTGGCCACTTCGTAGGGCTGGCTGGGACAGGAGCTGCTACAGGAATTGCCACCGTAGTGTATGAATGGAGTGTAAGTGACATCAGAATTGTCCTTTCAGTCAGGTCCATATCTAGTGTCTTGGTTTGTTTTATGCTGCTATGAATACCACAGACTGGGTAACTTTTAAATAACAAAGATTTACCTCTTATAGTTCTGGAGGCTATGAAGTCCAAGGTTGAGGGACTTGCATGTGGTGAGGGCTTTCTTGCTGCATTATCCTATGGCAGAAGGCAGAAGGACAAGAGAGCTTGTCAAGAAAGAGGAAAAAAAAAAGAGAGAGAGAAAGAGACTGAATTCATTCTTTTAACAGGAACCGACTCCTTCAATCACTAACCTATTTCTCACAATAATGGCATTAATCCATTCATAAGGGCGGAGTCCTCATGACCTAAACACCTCTTCAAGGTCCCACCTTTCAACACTGTGGCATTGGTGATTAAGTTTCCAACACATGAACTTTGGAAGACACATTCAAATCACAGCATTATTTTTTTTTCCAGAAAGGAGCATGCGCTTGCCAGAGAGATAAAACAAAAGAGAAAGAGAAAGCACCTTTCAATGGGACATAGTCATGCCACAATCCTTTTTCCTTAATTTCTCAATCCCATTAGGAGTTTGAGAATGCATGCATATGATGGGGCCAGGATTCAAACCATGGTTGACCACATGGGGTCCAGCTCCCAATGCACAGTGCTTAAGTAGTACATTACAGGGTAGGCCAGCATACAGATATTTTCATCAAAGCCATGTCCCAGGTTTGACTAGGAGTCTGTATAGGACGTACTCGTATCTAACTAGATATCTATTTTTCCTTCAAGTCTACTCCTTGTTGGACTTTCAGCACCTCTACGCTTGTTTTATCTGGGCCCTTTAAGTCACCGTTTGAAGTTTTCCTAAAGCAATTATTCTCACCATCAATGTAATTTCTATATGCTGCCATCCCTACTTTCACTTAACCATTTACTGCTCACTTTTTTCTCTCCTCCCTGGCCTATTACACTGTGTGCCCAGCTCTGAACTAGATGAAGTTGGATCACAATGAAAATTTAAACACACCATTCCTGGCTGAGCTCAGGAAGTGACCCTGAGTAATTACAAATGCATGTGTCTCTTTCTTGCTGAAGATTTTGCACCTACTTTTATTTTAGTAATACCAGAGACTCCAGAAGGGACTCTTTCTCCAGAGAAGTCCTATGGTCAGACTTTTGCTTTGACAATGTTATGGATTCCAGAACAAAGCCAGCCTCCAGAGGCATGGGCAGAATGACCTATGTCCCAAGTGAGTGTGATGATCAATCTTCAGATAACTTGGCTGCTGCTCTTTTTTGTTGTTCTTTTGAGATTTTTGCCACAGGGCATGTGTGCTCAATGGAATCACAAAGAGAGACAGTGGGAGGGAAAGTGAGAAATCACCCCCCGGAGGGATGGCCATGCCACAATCCCTTCTCCTCCATTCTCCACTGGGAATTTTGGGCACACACGCACATGTTCCTGGCATGAGTGATTTGCCATGTGAGAGTCCAGAGCCTTAACCACTATGCCGTCTGCTGGCTGGGCTGCTCTTCTTTTAGCCTGCAACCTTGGTCTTCCCTAATCACTGTGAGGCTTGGATTCCTCCTCCATAATACAAAAATAATGATGCTTATCCTCCCCGCCTCACCTGGCTGTTGTGAGTATAGCGTAAGTCATGTATGTGCAGCACTTTTACGGACCTTTCACGTCAACGCTAGATTATACCATTATCGTCATTGTATGGGGCAAGGTTTGAGTGACACTGGGAATATGCTATCCCCAAATTTCTTCCTCATTGCTTTGTGAGTTGTTATATAACCCCTGCCACTGGAGAAAAAGTCATGTTAGCAAAGATTGTGTGATTTTGCAACAGTCCAGATGGGCTCAGATCTTTAATTCTCTGATCACTTTTCACCACGCATCTCTTATCTCATCCTAAGCTCAGAAAATGGCGGCCTCTGAATCCTACACGTGGAGGAAAGACACCCATAGTTGTTGGGGAATCATACTGTTTGAATAGGACAGACTCAAAGCAAACTTCTTTTCAGACTCAGCAGGCATAAAATGTATCATTTGATCAAAGTCCCAAGCCAAGCCTCTTTAACTTCTTATTCTTTTTTGGTTTCTTGCAGTCCTCACTCCTGCTGCCAGTTCTAGGATGGCTCTTCGTCCCCATCTACATCAGGGCAGGGGTAAGAATCCCTCAGTCTTCTGCATGCATCTGTCAGGCTTTAATTTGTTCGCTCATTCTTTCTGTTCAGTCATGAAACCGGGGTACTTGGTCTTCACCTGACCTGTTGCTATTTACAGATGATTAAAAATCAGATTTAATTCCTAGAAGAACTCCTAGTATAGAATGTGTCTATGGCCAGGTAAGAAATTGGTGGTGACCCTGCTGCAGGAACACTGAAGTTTTGTCTTTTGAAAGGCTGCACTTATATTTGTAGAGTTTATTTTTGTTTGTTGTTCAATCATCTCTTTACTGACAGACCCCTGGGTTGCCCCTACTCCCTAGCAGTACAAAGCAACAGCATGAAGGGAATTTGGAGGAAAGAGGAATGAAGATGAATTTTACTAAATTTACATTTTTTTAAGTGACTCATGTGTGAAAAGTGAGTACAGTGCAGTGGTGGCAAATGCTCTTGTACTTCTCCGCCTGTGGGTCTGAGAGCGTCTCTGATCCAGGGTTGCCCACCTCAGCACTACCGACATCGTAGTCCAGACGGGCATAGGCTGTGGAGTGCTGTCCTGTGCATGGAGGGTGTCTAGAAGCATCCCTGGGCTCTATGCACCAGGTGTTAGGAGAACCCTCTATTTTCAAGTGTTCCCTGATGAGGATTAACAACTCCTCCTGTTCAAAACCACTGCTCTGTCATCATTCACCCTGGACTTTCTGGGCTTGCATTTCCATCAGTCCACTAAATGCTGTCAGACTGCTGTGAAGACCCGTCACAGACCCTGCCCCTCTCGGTGAGCACCATTGTTATGAGAGTTCCCATCTTCCCACATCCTTATCAACACACAGTACTTTCTTTTTAGGTTAGGAGGCACATGTGCTCACTGGAGAGAGAACAAGATGGAGAGAGAGAAAGGGAAACTGAGAAACACCCTCCCCCCCAGGGTGGATGGCCATGCCACAATCCCTTCTCCTCCATTCTCCTCTCAGGATTTTGGGCATGCACACACACACACACATACACATGCACCTGGCGTGTTTTCCAAACCGCTGGGTCTGGAACTCAAACTGCACACCTGGCCATGTGGAATCCAGCTGCCTTAACCCCTGCATCACTGGCTGCCCCAGTTCTTTCTTTAAGTAACAATTTAATGGAATTCTCTTTTTCTTAATAAAGATAATTATATGTATATATGCCATTTCTCCCTTTATAAATTTATGGTGTAACCATTATTATGGTTCGTTATTTAGAGTAATATTATTTGTACTAGACTGCAACTTTATTGGTTAAAATAATAAACACTGGGGCTGGCAGGTGGCATGTTGATTAAGGCGCTGGACTTCCACATGGCCAACCATGCTTCAGGTCCCAGACCCGGTGGCTTGAGACTCATGCCAAGCACATGTGCATGTGTGCCTACAATCCCAGAAGGAGAACTGAGGAGAAGGAATTGCAGCATGTCTATCCCCCAGGGGGTGATTTCTCATGCTCTCGCTCTCTGTCTCTGTGTCCCTGCGAGCACACATGCCCTACAGGAAAAAATATTACTATTATCCACTGTTATTCTACCAGGGAGTTGGTGATGTTGCAGGTAATTACATGTGCCTTCATTTTAAACTCCCACTTACAGATGATAAAATAGAGATTTAGAGACACTGGTGTTTTCTGACAGTCACACCTCTAAGATGGTCTGCATCCAATGCCTGTGTTCATTCCTGCATCCCCACGCTGCCAAGGGACCATACCTTTCACACCTCTGCACTCCCACGGTGCCATGCCCACAGGTGCTCAGTAGTTGCCCAACGGCCTGAATGCACAGAGCTCTGAAGGTGACTCCCTCTTGCCATGTCTCTGCAGGTGATGACCATGCCGGAATATCTCAAGAAGCGGTTTGGAGGGAAGCGACTCCAGATCTACTTCTCCATCCTCTCTCTAATCATCAACGTGGCTTTGAATATCTCAGTGAGTTTTGGCATTTTTAACTTCAGGGGGTTGCTTGACGGGGCCAGAACAGTAAGGTCAGAGCTGAGTGTAGACTGCCACAGCTTATATGGGGCTGGACCATGTGAATGTCTTAAACTTCCTGGTGCCTGTACCAATTCTTCTTCTTCTCCTCCTCCTTCTCCTTTTTTCTCTTTCTCCTTCTTCTTCTTTTTTCAGATTTTTGCCAAAGAGTATGTGTGCTCTTTAGACAGACAGAGAGAAACAGAGAGAAAGAGAAAGTGAGAAATCACCCCTGGGGGGTGATGGCCATGCCACAATCTCTTCTCCTCCAGTCTCCCCTCAGGGTTTTGGGCGCATGTGCACAGGTTCCCGGTGTGTTTTTCAAGCTACCAAGATCTGCCATGTGGGATCCATGGCCTTAATCACCACGCCACCTGCTGGTCCCTCTCTACCAATTCTTAAGGGGGAAAATTAAACTCCAGAGACCCTGTCCTCAGAGTAGAAGACTTTCAAGTCAAGAGAGGTTTCCATGTGTAAATCCATCCTCTCAGTAAGAATATGAAGAAATGAATGTACAGAAAGAATAAACCATCTCGTCCAAGGTACACAGCTATTTGTAGTAAAGAGCAGGGCTTCTCTGGTCTTCTCCACTGCAGAGCCAGTCCAGGTTGATATTTTTGCTTTCGGTTTGACTAGCTGACATGTGAGCCAGACTGACTTTCCTTAAATTTACCGTATTTTATCTACAACTGCCCCTTAAAACAAATGCCACAAGTGTTGAATTTAATAATTTAATTTAATAGATTCAATAGTGTTTAAAAAGGTATACTTCTGGGACCAGCAGTTGCTGTAATGGCTATATCGCTGGACTCCCATGAAGTCGACCGCGGTTCAAGTCCCAGGCCCGGTGTCTTCAACTCACCGGGCATGTGTGTGCATGCCCAAGATCCCGAGAGGAGAATGGAGGAGAAGAGATTGTGGCATAGCCATCCCCCCCTCGGGGGTGATTTCTCACTTTCTGTCTCTCTGTCTCTCTCTGTCTTTCTGGTGAGTGCACGCACCCTCTACCAAAAACCTCCCCCACCCCACTGGAAAAAAAAAAGTTATGCTTCTTGTAGATAATCAGCAAATAAAACATCAAGGAATCTGGGCTTGGCTTTGTGGCACAGCAGCTAAGCTCTATGTGATGAAGCCCAGTCCTAGCAGCCTGAGAAACACACTGGGGACCCACACATTCACGTCCCACATCCTGCCTGACAGGTTGGGAGATGAAGGGAAAGGGCTACAGTGTGGCTATACTCCATCGGAGGGTTCTCTTGCTTGCTCGCTTGCTCTGTCTCTGAAGAGCACACATGCCCTTGAGCAATAAAATATTTTTTTATAAAAAAAGATAAGAATCTGAAGATTCAGCAGCACATGGAGAAAATAGAAAGAGTAGCTCATGTGCTCCTCACGTACCAGTGACTAATGAAATAATCTCAAGCTTGTGGGGCAGGTAGGCGTCTCGGTGTTCATGAGAGAAAGTTGACCTCCGCTATCGCTGTTCTGTGGAGCTGACTCAGTGGAAATTAAACAGCTACTCGGATTAGATGTTATGAGCCTTCCTAATGCAGTGTGAGCATTTCCAGCATTCACTCGTATTGTTAAGCTCTGTGTTATGAGATATCTGAGCAGGGCGAGTTCACCTTATGGCTAAGGAGATAAGACTTATACACATGAAATAATTACCTTTGTTTTGGTTTTAGGTTTTGGCCTTAGGGCATGAGACAGAGAGAGACAGTGAGAGGGAAAGTGAGAAATCACCCTCCAGTGGGGTTGACCATGTTGCAATCCCTTCTTCTCCATTCTCCTGGGATTTGGGGCATGCACGCACATGTGTCCAGCATGATTTTCGAGCCACCAGGTCCAGGACTCAAACTGTAGTCGGCCATGTGGGAGTCCAGTGCTTTAACCACCATGCCACCTGCTGGACCCTCTGCAAACTTTCTAAAGTCCCCTTGCACATGCAAATGTACCACAATATAAGCTGGACTAGAGTAGAAGTCCAAGTACAGAGATATTCCATGCACATTCAGGTGCACATTCAGGGGTGATTCCTGTTGGGTGGAATTGGAGATTGCCCTCATGGAAGGGTCACTTAAACCGTCTCCAGAACGGGTTGATTAGGAGAGGCAGAGGGAAGCTGAGGAGCCCACAGGAGTCAGAGGTTTTCTGCCCGTATGCTTCACAAGTGAGTTGATCTTGCTAGCCTCCTCGTTTTCACCAGGCTCTGACTTCCACAGCTTTATGGTTCTAAAGAGCATGAACAGCTACTGAGGCCAAACCACAGCAGCCAGAGGGGGCCTGAAGGGATGCAGCTTGCTGAGTAGCGAGTTCCTGGTGGTAGAAGAGGCAGGCTGGGTCAGAGTACAAGGAAACCAGATGTGGGAGTTCATGCCCATGCAGGGCCTGCGGCCAGCTGGAAAGGTACCCCGAGAGTCCGTTCTTACCTGCAATGTTACATTTTAAGTGACATTAATAGCAATTAATCTTAGACATGACCTTCAGTGTACTTTTAGACTTTGATAACGAATTTTCCCAGGTTACTTATTAAACAGGTCATTACGAGGAGGTAGAAAAGGAGAGGTGACATACTTCTCCCCTGCTCCAGGCTTGGAAAGGGTCATCTTGCTCTGTCATTAACCTCCAAAATATATCATCATGATGCCCCTTTATCCTTAAATATTTCAGTTTGTTTTTCCTAAAAATGTTGATATCCTTTTAGGAAGCCATATTGCAAAGTATAAAATCAGGAAATTGATTTTGATATAAATTATTATCTAACCTGTAATTATTATTCAAATATTGACCATCGTTCCACAACAATCCTTTATAGCAAATGAAAATCCTGCATGATTGTAATTCATCTTTATTAAGAGAAATATTTTATAATCATTGTGAATGTAATTAATGCCACTGAACTGTACCCTTCAAATGGCTAGCCTGGCAAATTTTATATTGTACCTATTTCACCACAATAAGAAATAATTGATAAAAATCAGCTGCTTGTATAGCATTTCAAAGCCATCAATTTAACACCTTAATGGTACCGTGTAATAGAAAGAAAAGTCAAGCAATTCATAATAAAATAATATATGTTTTACTCTATGAATGATCGATAGAGACTGCACAAGAAGTCAAAATGCTGCAGTTCAATAATTGCCCGTGGGGACCAGCAGGTGGTGTGGTGGTTAAGACACTGGATTCCCACATGGCTGACCACGGTTCTAGTCCCAGACCCAGTGACTTGAAAAATCACAATTAAATAAGTGTTTAAAAATAATAATAATAACTGTCTATGTAGGTCAGTATGAATAAGGCCATTAGAAATGCAGATGGAAGCAGACTCACATGCATGGCATATCTGCAGGTACCATTTTTTCTAAAATTATGAACATGGGTTTTTTTTTTTTTTTTTTGCAAATGTCCAGTTGTTAGAAAAGCCAGCTTTCTTCCATGTACACTGTTGTTCCGCTCCTGGAAAACTCCACGGTAAAGCAAACTTGCCCTATTCTGTTTATGGCAGACACTGTTCTGTGTTTATGAAGTCGAGTTAGGTTCCAGGCTGAGATCATTGAGCACAGGTTTTTCACCAGCATGAACGTCTGTTGGATGATAAAATGCCTGGTCTTGTTTCAAATCTTAGAGGAAAAAGCAACCATCTCCTGCTAGACCTCTTCTCAGCCCCAAGTTCTGCAGAGAAACCTACTTCTAATTCTTCTGGAATTTACTCCTACTACTTTTTAAAAATTTTTAAACTTTAACATTTTTATTGATTTATTTTTGCTAGAGGGCATGTGAGCTTCTCAGAGACAGAGAAATAGAGAGAGAGGGAGAGGAGGAAGCCCCTCCCCATGGGGCATTGTCATGCCACAATCCCTTCTCTTTCTTTTCTCCATCACGTTGAGTTTTGGAGCACACACACATGCACACCTGGTATGTTTCTCAAGCTACCAAGTAACGACTCAAACTCTGTGGTTGGCCACGTGTAATCTGGCTCCCTTACTCACAAGGCCACAAAGATATCCGGACTTCTACTTCCTTTTAACTAGCATGCTTGTGCCATTTCTCAGGGATTTTTTTTTCCTTTGGCTTTGGCTTTGCCTTTGGCTTTTTCACAGATCCTAGAGGGATCTGACTTGAAGGGGCAGAGTGGGGCAAGTACACGATGTGTTGAAAAAAAAAAAAAAAAAGACCAGGAAGCTGGAAAGAATACACTGGGAAACCAAGAGTCTGGGCAGAGCTGATATAATCTTGCACCTAGAAGTCTCTCTGTAGACCCCCAAATGGTCCTCCTTGGATGTCTCAATCGGACTTTATACTTCCATCAATAATCCCTTTGTGTATATTTTTAAATGTTTACGTTTGTCCTCTCGGTGACAGTTGTAAACCGTCCACACTTTCTTAACCTCCGGACCCCTGCTTCTTAGCAGAAAGCCTCACCTCCTACTTTATCTAGAAAATTTAGCCAAGAACTAGCATTTCTCTAATGTCAAGAATCTACATATGCTTCATCCTTTCCTTCTTTCCGCCACTCTGCAGATGAGCTGTTTCCCTTTTTTGTCAAAGGCCAGTATCTCAAACTATATGTGTCTTGATCCCATATCATTTCAACGTTTATATCAATCCCGATCCTCCCTTACCTCCTGCTTTCTACTAACCCCTCATCCTCACCAGTGTGCTCACGGACCTTCCTTCCTCACAATGACCGTTGCTTTCTGTGTCTTCTCTACCAACTATTCCATTTCTTATTGTTACTTCTCTACCAACACCCATGAGAAAGTAGTCTACACAAACTGTAGTGTAGACAGTTCTCACTTTTCACTCACTCATTCACATTGCTCTGTATGGTCAGTTCAAAGATCCATCCTCTGAAGGGGAGAGCTGGCCTCCAAGGAGTTCGTAGCTAGATTGTAGAGATGACAGGTGTAGCTGCAGCAAACATTAGTGCGAAGTCGTCAGTGAAGAACTAAGTGATA